AAAAAGAAAACGATGCGTCCAGTGATGAAGAAAGCCTATGAAACAGGTGAGAAAGTAAGATTCAGTAATGGCACAGCCTACATTAATGGACAGAGATACAAAGAGAATTAAAAGGGAACAGTGAGAGAACTTTTAAAACAGTGAGCAGATGTTTAAATAGAAAACATTTACTGAATGTGTGAGAAGGGGAGTAATGACAATATTGTTTGTGTTAGGCACATAGTTGTAGGCAAACATGGGCTTAGGCAAGAGTTGTTGTTGTTATTGTTCGTTCTTTGTGTATTTAAAACTTTTAAATGGGGAAAGTTCTTAATGAAAATGGGATTAAGATACAAACTTAAACACATTTATTGTATATGGTTCCAAAAGTTAAAATTGTGAGCTTAAATGTTCGTGGCCTCGGTTATTACAAAAAAAGAAAAAGGGTGTTCAAATGGATTTCTGAAAGTAAATCGAAAGTTATAATGCTACAAGAGACACATAGTTTAGAATCAACAGCAATATACTTGGAAACCCAACTCAAGGGACAATTGATCTTTGCACATGGAACTAGTAATAGTAAAGGCGTGTTAATCATATTTAAAAATATAGATTATCACACAACAACATTTGTAAGGATCCCTTGTGACGTTTTATGATTATAGATGTAAACATATAACAGAAAAACTTTATCTTGGTGAATGCATACGGCCCTAACGAGAAAGGTAGTCATGTAACCTTATAAAACAAATAGTAACACATCTAACGGAATATGTAACAGATTCAGATACTAAAATTATATGGGGAGGAGATCACAACCTGGTAAGCAAATAACACCGAATAAACGGCAAGGTAAAGACTATGTCTAATTATAGTAAATACGTACTGCGTGCGTGACTCGAACCGGCGCTCGCGTACGGCACCTAATCGCCTAGCTTCACGCCACTACACGTCTTCCCCTCGGCCACCGGGCATCCCCAAAAAAGGATGCTTAATAACCGAGCTTATTAAGGCCTTTGCCGCATTCTGGCCATGCTGTGTGGCGCGTATCGCGTGGACGGGTTTCATGTTCTCTGCACGTAATAAGCTCGGTTAGAAGATGGCACAGAGATAACTGGCCAAAAAAATATCAGAAAAGAAATAAGAGTTTTATAAAGGTTTGTACACATCTAAACTAAGGCTACATTTAATTTTATGGATGACATCCTCTGGAGACCCCAAAACTAATGCAAGAGGGCGAAAAAAAAATCCTGCCAAAAAAATGCTGCTAAAACCATTGGACTACGATGCTGGTATTACGAATTGAACCACAGAACACAGTGTATAAAAAAAACAAGAAGTCTTTATTTGTAGGAAGCACATGTCGATGTACACATCTCGTACTGTATTACTGTCACAGGTATCATCACCTTTGATTTTGAAATGGCAAGAGAATAAGACAGATGTTAGCTTTGCCAAAGGCATACACATCAACTCAATAATAAAGAAAAACTTACTGTGTTGTATTGAAACAAAAAATTGAATTAAAAATGAACAATATGTTTGTTAACAGCAACCTGGAAATTACCTTCTTTGACATTCAAACTACAGCTTTTAAAGTGACATTTAAGATAGTCTAAGCACGTGTTTTGGTGGCGTGGTTGCCATGTTGAAATTCTCGGCAACGCAAGACGCATGTGCAGAAGATCATTTACGACAAAATTTGCACGTTTTGAGGTAGTTCAAAACGAGTTTTACGACAAGCCAGCGCTTTGCGACAATATGAGTCGGCAAGTTCCGGGCAGAAAACCGATCTGTGGACACTCGTCGTCGGAGATTTTTTTTTTTTTTTGAGAACAGGCGAAAACTAATGCGCGCGCGGATGGCATCCATAAAATTAAGTCGGTGTGGCCTAAATAAAAATACAGGGTTTGTTGATAATGAAGAATTAATCTTAAATAATCCTTATGTTCCAAAACTTGAAAATCATCAGGCTGAATAATGTGAAGGACTAATAACTGAAAAGGAAGCTCTTGATGCTTTAAAATCAATGCCCCCAAACAAAACACCAGGAAATGATGGCCTAACAAGTGAATTTTATAAACAGTTTTGGGATCTATTGAAAATATATATGCTAGACTCATTTAATACTTCTTTTGAAAAGGGGAAATTCTCTCAGTCTCAGCGACAGGGTGTAATCTCCTTACTTGAAAAAAGAGGGAAAGATAAAAGATATATACGTAACTGGAGACCAGTGACGCTCCTAAACGTTGACTACAAGATTGTTACAAAATGTTTAGCAAACAGAGTAAAAGAAGTTCTGCCCAATTTGATACATGTTACACAGAGTGCATTTGTCAAAAATCGCTTTATTGATGATGTTATAAAGTGTATTGAAGGAGTAATGGACTACACATAGGAGATGGAATTGCCTGGTCTGTTGGTAACGGTAGACTTGGAAAAAGCCTTTGACTGTATTGAGTGGCAGTACCTGTTAAAGGCATTGAGAGCTTTTAATTTTGGCCAGGGATTTATTAAATGGGTGAAAATTATTTATAACAATATTTTCAGCTGTGTTATGAATAAGGGAATATCTACAGGCTACTTCCAACTTCATCGTGGTGTCAGACAGGGT